CTAAATTTATCATATAACGTTACATGTACAGTCGGCTAAATAGCATGTAAAAGTATATATCCTGACCAGCAANCACTGATTTTAGCCATAATTATAGTTACAATACATTACCGGTAATATTAACTGAACAGGAATTAAACAGGAGGTGCCACACAAAGTCCTTCTGGCGTGTCAATTTAAAGAGTAAAAATGTAATTTAATGTATGAGGACCGAATCTCCCAAATACGTGTATAGGCCACACCAATTTGTTTGTTCTCGGATTTTTTCAGAAAAATATGAAGCGACAGGGCGAAAAAAATAAAATAAAAACAGGTCTAAATATGATCCTATTATACTGGCTTAAATGCTATGAAATGAGCCATGAAGTCAACACAAAAAACTGGGTTAAAATTTAAACATTGAATTTTGAACTTTTAATCAAACCACTGCAATGATAGATGGGAAAACTGTAACAACTAGGAAGAAAAGGACTTTCCTCAATTGTTTGGGGCAAAACATGAGCATTTTTCAGTTGATTCAGGACCAGAATCAATTTTTTTTTTTGTCAAATCAGAAAAAATAGAAGAGGCGAATCCGAGAACCAACAAATTAAATTGGTGTGGCCTAAAATTGTCATGGATTGATTTAGGAAAAAAAACATTATTGTCTAGTTACTAAACCAAGCAAGAGTGTTGTAACAGTTATATCCTTCTTAGCTTTTGTCCTGCTGGACTTTTTTTTACACAATATTTTTAAGTAATTTGAAGTCTTAATCAGGTAGACTCCTGAATTTTTCCCCTGTTACTTCTGCATTAGTTGTGTTTTGCTGCGGTGTGATGCGTTGCACGAGAAACACCCCCAAATTGTACATACACAGGGCACTATATAGATGGTACTGTATGTGCAACCCATATATATATGGGTCCCACAGGACAAGGGTTAGTATTGGGAAGGAGGAGTTTTAGCAATGCAAGACAAAGCTAGTTGCATGTTTTGCCCTTTTGCCGCTCCAGAATCTGCAGACTTTTAACTTGTCTATAATGTGTATTCACAAGGTGTACAATAGATATTGAATATTACATTGTTTTATCTGCACATCAGGGTGGCAGTCTGTACAACATGGGTCTGAAGCCCCTCATGTACAGTGAACACGACGCACAGACCAAGAAGACTGGCTGGTTACGTGTGGGGGACAACATCAAGTACTACAAGAACAACGTTAGGTACAGGCACATCTTATTCTAAACATTTATACACTAAACTCATGCGTAACCTATCTGAGAAAAATGTATGTTCATGATATCTTCAGATGATATCTTCGTTTTGATATCATGTTTACTGTCAGTTGAAATTTTGTGCATTGTAAACAATGTTGAAACTTTCGTATTCATTTATTTTGAATCACAAATAACTGACAGCTTTATCTTTTTTCTTGCTGCTTGGTCAAGGAGGTAAACCTTGTTCAGATTTTGTCTTACAATCATTTATTTATGATAATCATGCGTAGTTGGTTGGTTGCTGCTGTTTTACAGTAATACAAAAATGTGAAGTGTGTGTGTTGGAGTGTGTCTTTGCTTCCCCTACCTTAAGATGTTTTTAAGCTATGTACAAAAGTACTAGGCTATCTACTATACATCCGTCGAGTTACATATGTCCACAACACTGAAAATCAAGATCGGTGGAGATCTCTAACTAAAGAGAGACTTGAATGTCTTATTTTATATTGGCGGAATTATGTGTAACATCCGTGTCCATAATATCACCAGAGTCCATAATATCACCACCTTGAAAAAGAGTGTGCTTAAAGATATTTTTACTGCTACATACCCTAGCTGATTAGGTATGTACATTTGATGTGTGAAGGAGTCCATACCAAAAGTATGTTGCAGTAAAAATATCTTAAAGCACACTATTTCTCAAGGTGGCGATATTATGGACCCTGGTGATATTATGGACATGGATGTTAACTGAGTAGATGTTAATGAGAATTCCTAGTCTTTCTCTTCTTAAGTTTTTAGTTGTTCATATCTTCTGTTTTCAGAATAAACCTGAGAAGTGACAAGTGTTACTACTCGCTCACATGGACCTGTACCTTCCCAAATGACAACGACTCCTACTTCTTCTCACACTGTTACCCCTACACCTACTCAGACTTACAGGTAAGGGTTACCCCTACACCTACTCAGACTTACAGGTAAGGCCACACTGTTACCCCTACACCTACTCAGACTTACAGGTAAGGCCACACTGTTACCCCTACACCTACTCAGACTTACAGGTAAGGCCACACTGTTACCCCTACACCTACTCAGACTTACAGGTAAGGCCACACTGTTACCCCTACACCTACTCAGATTTACAGGTAAGGCCACACTGTTACCCCTACACCTACTCAGACTTACAGGTAAGGCCACACTGTTACCCCTACACCTACTCAGACTTACAGGTAAGGCCACACTGTTACCCCTACACCTACTCAGACTTACAGGTAAGGCCACACTGTTACACCTACACCTACTCAGACTTACAGGTAAGGCCACACTGTTACCCCTACACCTACTCAGACTTACAGGTAAGGCCACACTGTTACCCCTACACATACTCAGACTTACGGGTATTATTTTTGTAAACACAGACTGAGTAAATATTTCCTTGTTCCATACCTAGTTTCATTGACAGAGGTTTCTTTTAAACAAATTAGCATTTTTTTGTCATCAAATGCAGAACACTTTTCTTTGTAGAAAATTTCAATTGTGTTGCAGTTAACATCTGTGTCCATAATATCACCAGGGTCCATAATATCGCCACCTTGAGAAATAGTGTACTTAAAGATATTTTTACTGCAACATACCCTAGGTATGTACATTTGATGTGTGAAGGAGTGCATACCAAAAGTATGTTGCAGTAAAAATATCTTAAAGCACACTGTTTCTCAAGGTGGTGATATTATGGACCCTGGTGATATTATGGACACAGATGTTATACTCAGTCTGGTTTAAATTTATGGTTTCATGATGTTATCACAATGTAGATATACAATGCAAATTGTATCCAATTTTCAAAGGTTGTGTCTTATATAATTTCAAGTATGCATACTTGTCCTTTTTGACTCAAGAAAGATAAATGGAAGTAACTATTCACTCAAACTGTTAAAAATGTAACTGAGATTGTAGCATACACTTCAGCTGGACTTGTGTACCCTATAGGACTACCTCTTGAAGATGGCAAATGACCCAGTCCGGTCTAAATACTGCAGACAGAGGGTTCTGTGTCGCACACTGGCAGGGAACCTGGTGTATGTCCTCACCATCACTAATCCCTCCAAAAACCCAGAGGATTCAAAGGTAGGAAATAGGTAGCATTGTTAAGTTTTAGGGATGTGTATTTTTTTGTCGCTAATGTCTAGGGTTGGGCTGGAGAAAATCAATGTTCAATCTGTAACTTTTATGTCACCCTGCATGCCCCCTTGTTTATAAACTTTATTTCCGTTTTTAAACTGAATCAGGTCCACCCTCTAGTGTTCTATTATTTGATGAATTGCATTCTACACAAATCACTGACAACCAACACTCAGGGCTTTAGAAACTGAATGCTGTACTTTTTAAATTTCAGCAATACTGTCAAGTCCCAATAATGACTGCAGTTTTCAGGCTAATACAACCATGCATTGTCCTATTATTGGCACGTGTCTGTGAAGTTGGGGTTCATGATTGTTCTTGTGTGTTTCAAGATTCAAGATGGATTTATTGGTTCTTTGCAGTTAAAAACAACTGAATTGTAAACCAATTTACAAAACATTAGTATAAAACTACAGGTTTGCAATCAATATAGGCGTACGATTAACAAACCTATAAAAATACATGTTTCATACATTATAAATTTCCCGGACAACATTTGAGAACACTGTACTACATAAAGACATCAGGGGTTCAGTCCATAGTTATTGAGGAGCTGGATCATAAACGGTATAGGCGAGGTCTTACATGTATATCTATTCGTTCCAGGTAAAGAAAGCTGTAGCCCTGTCTGCTCGTGTGTTAAAGTTTGGGTTTACTTTGACCTGATCATGATGATTGTTCTTGTGCAGGTAAAGAAAGCTGTAGTCCTGTCTGCTCGTGTGTTAAAGTTTGGGTTTACTTTGACCTGATCATGATGATTGTTGTTGTGTGTGTTTCCAGGTTAAGAAAGCTGTAGTCCTGTCTGCCCGTGTGTTAAAGTTTAGGTTAACTGATGATGATTGTTGTTGTGTGTGTTTCCAGGTTAAGAAAGCTGTAGTCCTGTCTGCCCGTGTCCACCCTGGGGAGACTAACGCCTCCTGGATGATGAAGGGTTTCCTCGACTACCTCAGTGGCAGCTCTGCTGATGCAAAGGTAAAAAAACTCACTTATTTATGGATGACAATCTCAAAACCTTGTGAGAGTGCAACACAATTTTGATATCTTGTTTGTGGTTAAAGATAGATTCATGCCTATCCACTCAAATCTGTGTGAGCTGGATCATGTTTCATTGAATAAAAGAATGTACCTTTCTCTCTCTTAATGAAATTGGCCTACTAGTTAAAATCAACAGGTATTTGGGGTCCAACTTCTTAGCATAATGTCACATATTTCATCAATACTGTCAATTGGTTTTACTTTTTGTTTTTTTCATTATTTGTGTGTTTTAATTGTTATGGTTTCTACACCATGTTTCTTATATATGTAATTTGTTATGTTTATTCATCATCATTAATTTTATTATGTTACATTTGTTCATCATCGTTTATTAAGAGGTTCATCAGTGAAGTATAAATTACAGTTAATACAATATTCCTCAATCAGTGACGATTGGAAAAGGTAAAAAAACACCTCCAAATTTTTATGATTCCAAATTTTTACTGGCTTTTTACCTTGTTCAATTTGTCACTGATTGAGGAACATTTCGTCACTGATTAAGGAATATTTCTATTTGATTTTGAAAAGAAATGTTTGTAAAAAAATGTACTCAGGTCTGGTGATTTTTCTCTGCAGCTCCTGCGGGACACGTTTATCTTCAAGATCGTGCCCATGCTGAACCCTGACGGGGTGATAGTGGGGAACTACCGCTGTTCACTCGCCGGCCGAGACCTGAACCGGAACTACAAGTCTGTCCTGAAGGAGTCCTTCCCCTCCGTCTGGCACACCAAGATGATGGTCAGGAGGTGGGAACATGTCTTAACCTTAGGCCACACTAATTTGTACAGCATATCTTCAGCATCAGTTCAGCACCTTAATCTGTTTTGTGTGTGTGTGTGTTTCCCCGTGCAGACTGTGTGAGGAGAGAGAAGTGATCGTGTACTGTGACTGTTTTTCCCCAGGTTGTGTGAGGAGAGAGAAGTGATCGTGTACTGTGACTGTTTTTCCCCAGGTTGTGTGAGGAGAGAGAAGTGATCGTGTACTGTGACCTGCACGGCCACAGCAGGAAACAGAACGTGTTTATCTACGGCTGTGAGAACAGATACGACCCTGAGAAGAGACTGAAGGAGAGAGTCTTCCCTCTCATGATGCAGAAAAATGCCGGGGAAAAGGTACAGAAATCTGCTGCATGTAGAATATTCCTCAATCAGTGACCATTTGAAAAATTCTTTAGGTAAAAAGCACATACCTCCAAATTTTCGACATCCACTGATTGAACATCTTGATCACTCCAAATTTTTAATGACTGTGCTTTTTACCGTTTCAAATCGTCACTGATTGAGGAATATTCTAACTTAATAATCTGATTTTGAAATTAGAATTACATGTAGTTTGTTTAAAAGATGCACTGGTGATTTTACCAAGTTTGCTTGGAATTAGGAAAGGCATTGTAAGTGATTTGCCCAATGTTTAGTGGTACAGGGAAGTATACAGTCAAAGTTCGAGCCCTGATCAATGAAGTACCTTAGAGTATTTATTAGATATTTTTATGTTTATTACTAATATGTTTGCCTTTGGGTAGACTTGAATGCCTTAACCATCTTATGTTACATGCTACACTATAACAGTACTGTACTGTTCCCATGGCTGTATGATCCAACAATTGTGAATCTATAAATTCAACTACATTTGTATATTTATTATTATATGTATATTGGAGGCATCATTTCAGTTCACTAACACATCAAAATGTCCTTGGCATATAACCAACGTGTATTTTGTTCTACCAACAATTTTTTTTAAAACAGTTACTAAAATACTGACAGAGAAAATATGTAGGGGATGTGTGCCAAGGAAACTATATTCGAGTGTATTTATTTACAAACTTGATGAAACTAGCTATGCCTGCAGTACACTAAGTTGGAAGTTTGTGTTGTGTATTACAGTTCTCCTACAATGGATGTAAGTTCAAGGTACAGAAGAGTAAGGAGGGGACTGGCAGGATTGTCATGTGGCACACAGGCATCATGAACGCTTACACCATGGAGGTAGGGCTATTTCTCATGACAGTCCAGTACTTTACATACTGTATGAAATCACTTCTCTGTTAATATTAGTACATAAAATAACATCTCAATGAAAAGGGTAAAGAGAAGCCAGAGGACGAATAATCACCTGAGAGAGAATTTGATGGCTGTTGTCAGCATGCCAGTCCTTCTATAATCACGACATTCATCATAAATTATCTTATCCAAAGGACACACATATACATGACTGTACTATAGAGTAAATTAGATAAAGAGAACCTATGACGTCACCACAGCCTCCTGGTGGAATAGGGAGACATCAAACGTCAACATGGATTTGGGTCAAATATCACACCTGTGTGTGCGGGACTGGTAGAAACCTTTTGCAAGTAGGATTGGGTTAAAAGGCACCAAAACTGAAATTAATATGTATGTCCTTTCATCAGTCAAGCTAGACTGATTTTTAGTGGAGCCCAAATATTAATACAACTACATAAAGTATAATCTTCAAGCAGATTATTGGCTGCAAACTTTAAGACAGTATCAAGTTTGCGAGGGAGTATCCATTTGCTATTCAGTTACCATTTGCCACTAGCATAAAAAAATACAAGAATAAAACTAGAAAGGCCAATATTTGCTTTGGAGCAAATACAGCGATGGGTTCACCACATTTTACCACATGGCAGGGAAAGAATGAGAAACACAAGGGAAAACAATGATTTACATTGATATAACTATAATATGAAGTAAAATACAACTAAAACAACAGTTGGATAGCTATTCCCTACTTTATTGGTTAGGATTTTTAATTGCATAATGCAAACTGTTGATTTTCAAAATAAAAAAAAACGTCCATGCCCGGCATTCCAATGCTGGAGCAGGAAAGCTTGAAATACCTACCAAAACACTTGAATACAGACATACTGTCAGTATGGAAATGCTTCTGTGCAGGTGTTAATCAAGTTAAATCCCAACAGCCAATCAGCAAGAAGTATAGAGGAAAGCTGCATGCCTATTGGTTGATGCCCTGCATTCCATTGTGATGACTCATGCCCAAACGTGGTAAACAAGGCAAACTAACACAGTAATACATTTGCTATAACACAGCCAAAAAACTCAAATAAAACCATTCTAAAAGCCTGTATCACAATAATTTAAAAAACGCCTAGGGGTATTTGCCCACTGTACCTCCATACCAAATTTCAGGACCTTAGGCCCTAAAATGAAGAAGCTGAATCCATTTAAAAAATGGCAGGAGAAGGAGAAGAAGGAGAAGAAACATCAGAAAAAGCAATATGGTTTCACCACACCACTTCGTGGTGTGGTGAACCCATAAAAATACAATAAAAAGTACAAAAAGAAAGCCTGATAAAAATGCCTAAAAACAGTGTCAAAAATAAACCAAAGCCTAAACTTCTGCTTGGAGAGTACACGGAGTACAAACACAGGTCCTGGAGTAAAGTACACCAGGTCCTAGTCTTAAATCAAGTGTTTGCTGTACAGTATTGATTGGAAATGTTGCACCATTTTGTTTTGGGAGAACAATACCAAATGATCAATGAATAAGATGAATAGACTTAAATGTACTTTCTGTTCTCAGATGGCCTCTGCTGGGTTCACTTAAGGCAATTGCGTCAGTGGGCTCCCAGAAGCTATGTAGTTTGTCAAAACCTAATTAAGGGACTGAAATTTTTCTAAGATTGCAAGATGAATGGATAGTCTGAGGGTGGGTAAGGGTATTTCTTTGTCCTCAGACAACCTTTGCTGGGTCCACATGAGGCAATTTTGTTCATGGGCTGAGACCCTGGAAACTACAACCATGTAGTTTGTCAAAGCTGAAGGGTGTACACTTTTGTTCTCATCAGGTTAGATTAATCAGACAGGCCCAGGGTTAAGTACATTGTATTTTCTTCCCCTGTCCTCACACCACCTTTGCTGAGTAATTGTGTCAATGGGCTGGCTGGAATTCAGTCTGTCAAGCTGAAAGGAAGCTTTGTTTTTCTAAAATTGATAAATCCATTATCAAACAAGACCAGGTCAGGGAGAAGGTTGAAGCGCTCTCTTGTGTCCTTAGGCGACCTTAGCTGGGTCCATGTGAGGTATTTGTGTTGATGAGCGCCCCAGATGTCAAAGCTGAACAGGTTAAGTCAGGTTAAAGTCAGGTTAGATAGCCCTTGGGCCACACAGTTGTACAATCACTACATCAAGGGGCTAGTCCAAACTGGTGGTGGTGTCAGGTTAACTCCCATAACTCTTTCCTAAGTCTGAGTGCTTAGCATAGAAAGCAGTTATAATGTACCAGTTTTTTGTTCTTTGGTATGACTCGTCCAGGGATTGAACTCACGACTTACCTAATGCAAGGCCACTGTACCAGTCTAAAAGTGAACAGGACACACTTAAAAATTTGTTCTTAAGGCCACACCAATTTCATTTCTTGGTTAACAGATTTTTCTAGAAAAATAATGGAGCGGGTGGGCAAAAAAAATAAATAAATAAAAACAGGCCTACATGTAGGCATCCTACGGCAACACATTGTACTATGGCCCAAAATGGTACGATAGGAGCTATGAAGTCAACACACCAGGCTGGTTCAAAATTTAAACAATGAATTTTGAACTTTTAATGATACCATTGCATTGAAAGATGGAATAATTGTAACAAGTAGGAAGCTTCGAAGAAAAGGACTGTTTTCAACTGTTCAGGGCAAAATATGAGCATTTTGCAGTTGATTCTGATTTTTTTTTTGCAAATCAGAAAAAATGAAGCGGGCGAATCCGTTAACCAAGAAATTAAATTGGTGTGGCCTAAAGATAATAGATTCTGGATAGATCAGACAGAAGTTGACAGTCTTGTCCTGTCCTTAGGCGACCTTTGCAGGGTCGACACGAGGTAAGATGAAGGGGTATCACTTCAACGCGGCCGACTTCGAGGCCATGGGCTACCACTTCTGTGACACGCTACTGGACTACTGCGACCCCGACAGGTCAAAGGTCAGTATACAGGTCACAGAAATACATTTTTGTACATCTCACTGACCTGCCTCATACGTGTGGCAAAAGAATGGAGTGTTGAAGCCAGTGTCTGTATCTGTATAGCTGGTATAACCGCCCTATAGCGTAACATACCAGCTTCTTCGCATGCAGGCACGCAGCGCAGCGGCAGCTGGCTACATTACACCAAACTACATGGCTGGTATTGTCACAGGGCTATTGTCTTGTCGGGACACAAAACAAACATGAAATCTGATCCTACCACATTAATGCCAACAGTAATGTGTTAGAAATAAATTCTGATGATTTTCTAACGATTTACTAAACGGAAATCTAACCAGTTAGTAACGAAAACCCAACCCATTAGTAACAAAATTCTAACCTGTAACCCTTAATAATAAAACTAAACAAGAAGCCATAGGTGACAATCCTCCGTGAAGTTTTATATATTTCAACAAAATCCCAAGCGTCAACGCCAGACCTACTGTGCAGACATTATAATTAGGCAACGGTTAATACAATGAGGGCGCGTCACAAGCATAAAACATACAAAGAGCTAAATCCATTACTGCTCCCAGGGCGTGTAAAGATACTGTGCTTCAAGTTCGAAGTTCATTTTAATTACACACACACAATCATTGCATTCACATAAAGATCGGACTATCATGGTCGTGTCTAGTAACAAAGATAGCCCCACCGTCTTACCGTGCCTGTACCTAATTAAGCGCGCCTGGAACAGGACAAATTCCAGCAACAGTTGCGGTAAGCACCGCGAGTGTTACTACCGCCGGCCAGATAACCAGGATATCTGCTTATAGTACCTCTGCTACCAGACAACTGCCTAAACCTACGGCCTATTCCACAGGATTGTAAAAGTAGGGATGTTTCTAAAATATGCATTTACTTCAATATCAAAACAGCTACGGTAAAAATAAAAAGACGTGCATCATCCCGGACATAATGCCACACCACATGCGAAATTACACAGAAATGCGACGTACGGAAGAATGCGTTTTGGCTGCGAACATCTTCCAAAAAACTTGGCATCTCTTAACCATGGGCAAAAACATCTGGAACCACTTATAAAAACCACCCCGTATCTGCATGAAGTTCCACCCCCCCCACTGCTATTCCAAACAACGCGTTTTTCTGGACCATTCCAATTCGCCTCGCAATTGTAGGGGTGCGTCTGCAATATTACATTGACCGCGAAAGCAGCAACGGCAAAAATACACATTCGTGCATCAACACGGGCATGCCCGCAGACGGCGTATAAAATTGCGTGCCGATTACACAAAGAGAACCCAGTGTTTTGACTGCGAACATGAAAAATCAGTCGATCACAACACTCCGTCCGGAGGTCCTGACCTCCTTCACGGAGTAATTAAATGAACTGTAGATGTCTAATCAAACATCTCCCCCCTGCAGTCTAACCAGGTACTGCAGGAGCTGCAGGACAAACTGTAGATGTCTAATCGAACATCTCCCCCCTGCAGGCTAACCAGGTACTGCAGGAGCTGCAGGATAAACTGTAGATGTCTAATCAAACATCTCCCCCTGCAGGCTAACCAGGTACTGCAGGAGCTGCAGGACAAACTGTAGATGTCTAATCAAACATCTCCCCCTGCAGGCTAACCAGGTACTGCAGGAGCTGCAGGACAAACTGCGGCAGGAGATCCTGCGGCGGATTGAGATGTCCGGGAAAGCGCCGCCGGTCGGCGACCCACTGGACATGGAGGCGGAGTTTGGCTCAGACCTGGAGTCTGACACCAGCGGGTCGGACAGCTCTGTGGATGATGGACTGCCGGTACATCTACTGGCCATCGCACCCAAGGTACGGATAAGTACATGTACATGTAGACTGGAGTTTTAACCAGTCCTGTATTTCTAAGGCTGCTACAGAAATGATATTATTAGTCAGGCATAGGAAAAAAAATGTTGTTTCCGGTTACCCGACCGACCCTATGAAACCCCCCTGACCCTAGACTTTTTTTGGCTGACCGCTTGTTGTTACTGATGATCACTACATACAAGGAGGCCAGCCAGGAAAATTAACATCCAACGTTAAAATAAAAGAAATCTACCTTAGTTTCTGTCTCTCTCATTTTGCAACAATATTTTTCCATATTTTCCTCACCGATAGTCCTCTAGAAATCATAAAGGAGCAGTTTACAGGCCGCGTTTGGTTCAGATCAAGCTGAAAATCACTGAGATTACACCACATGTTCACACTGTGATGCACGTAAATTTTCAATCAAAATGAGAAATTAGCGCCCAAATTAACAAAACGGACTGTTAGGTTCCCACTGCTGCATTCGTCATGTACACTTGTGGTCAACTTATTTTCTTTGCTTGAATGGCTTAAAATCAAACTTCAGCGCTTGGCATGAGAAGGGCCGCGCCGCCATTTTGAACATTGCGCAACCCTCGCGAGAGTTCGCACAAGAGCTGCAAGTTGGCCCAAACTGCTAGAGGGCGAACTAAAAATCCTGTGATGTGATTGGTTGGAAAGTTTAATGTATTAATATACTAGTATTCGGTTCTCAGGTCCCGACCCTAATTTTTTCTAATAGGAAACACAACATTTATTTTGCTAGGCCTCATCACCTTTTGTTGGTTGAAATGTAAGAATGAAAGTCAAAATTGAGTGTAGTTTACTGCACAGTAGTTAGAACCTTTTAACTCTGATCTTCACTTGGTTTGTCACTATTCACTGTCAACTGGTGGGTTTTCCCAGTGGTTGTTGACAGTCTTATTTGGTTCCTGTACATTGATTTGCTATAATTTGACTCATGACAGTATGTAATATTTTTAGGAAAATTGAGCAGTCAAAGGTCTGTTTTGTTTTCATGATTTTCGTTATTTTATTAGAATTGACCTTCAATAGAAAAATTTCTATATTCTGATATTCTAATGGCCAAAATACTTGCAGTGCAGTGAATATTCTTAATTTATTTGTAAAATAATAATAATATAGAGTTCTTCAAACTAAAAGAATCACTTCTGTGGCTTGTTGTAAATGTTCTTAATAAATGATTTTTCCCTACAGCTCAACAGAAAGAAGAAGCTGCGTTCAAGGAAGGAGAGAAACAAGAACAGGAACAAGGACATCAAGACAAAACCTACAAAATCAGAGGATAACAAGGTAGTGATTTCCATGAATACACCATGCTACTTGCAGTGGGACTTATAAGTGCGCATCCACTAGAGATAGAAAAGGCCTCTATAGAAAACTCCCTGTGCACGAGAGATTATGTAAATATTGTCCAATGAATGCAGTGAAAAATGAAATACATTTTGTTACCCAGTGTCCTCACTATGAGACCAAAAGAAACAGATTATTTCAGACAGTTACAACAATCTCTCCATCATTTCGTCATTTAGAAGATCACCAAAAGACTACATTTCTACTAAGATCACAAAACCCACTAATTATGCAAAATGTGGGACTATTCATTATCCACTGCCTTCAAAGAAGAAGTCGAAGCCCATAATAGCTAGCTTAGTAGTAGAAGTAGAAGTTTTCCCAGACAGTTGTTACCTGTCTCCTGTTACTGTATTGCAATGAGTATTATACTTGGTTGTACAAGCAATTAGCCTTCGGGCATGATTTTGCAAATAAAGTTTGTCTTATACCTAAAGTAACTTCTGCATACAGTCATTAAATTCCTATATCTGTGTATCAGTCATTGCTGATTCTGCATTCTGGACATTTTTTTTTTATATTTCAGGAACAAAGTGAGGAAAAGAAGAAGCCAAAGCCTCAGAGTGCCGACAAGGTAACTTTGATGTTTGAATGAATGAATGTCAATGGATGTCAAAGTAAGGAAGACACATATCAAATGATATCATTACATAAGTGGATACAAGTTCCTGTGAAGTACAATGTAACTGGGACATAGTCGCAAAGAATAGAATTCCACTTAGACCACACCAATTTAATTTGTTGTTTCTCGGATTTGCCCTGTCCGTTTGTTTTTTCTGATTTGCAAAAAAAAAATTGTGGGCTGCAAAATGCTCAAAGAAAGACATCTTTTGGCCCCAATGGTTGAAGAAAGTCCTTTTTTTCCTAGTTATTAAAGTTTTTAAAATATAACAATGCAATTTTGTTACATTAAAAGTTCAAAATCAATTGTTTTAATTATAAACCAGCCTGGTATGTTCACTTCATGGCTCATATTGTAACATTTCCGGCTATCATGTGGTGCCTTGGCCTGTTTTTTTTTTTTTCATATCACTCTGTCGCTCCAGATTTTTTCTGAAAAAATCTGAGAAACAACAAATTAAATTTAGTGTGGCCTTATCTACAAAATATCTTACCTCCCAATCAGCAGAGACCAATCAGAACCCAGCACAGCGACGTCCACTCTGCCAGGAAACGGAGAGACGACCGGAGCAACAACGGCATCCCGGTGTTCGCTGACGAGAGGGTAGAACTGAGGTCTGCCAGGAAGGTAAAAGGACTTTGTTTGTGGCACAGGTGACAGTCGTGCCAGTTCTAACAAACATAACCATGTAACATATGAGTTTTGGGTGGGTTTGGTTGCAAATTTATTAACTGCATCAAGTGAAATTTTATCTTTTCTTTATATATGGTAAAAAATATTGATAGCAGTATTATAGCAATACATAATGATTTTATTTTTCAAACCAATTTGATTTGGATGTTGAACAGTTTACAGACCTCATTGGTATGACCAAATATTTTATGTGCAAAGTTTTTCTTTTTCCAAAATTGAAACACATTTTGTACTTGAGCATATTAGTCCCTTTGGAAAATTGTACCGGTGCCAAAAAAATTGAAATTGTTTCTTAAATAAGTAGAGCAGTTTCTTTTATACAATCATCTATGAAAATGTGATATATTCATTCAGTCAAAAATGCTGTCTATCATGTTCTCCTTGCTATCTAATGTGGCAGCCAATGGTTGGTAACTTAAAGGTTCTGTGGCTTTCCACTGACCTGCTGCTTCTGTAGTGCCAGTTGGGATGTAGCCAGGTTGGAGCACTGAGTTACGACATAAAACAAGAATATTGAAAATCATGGTCTATCAAAACAGCATTTCTTTGCAGTGCATAATTGAAAAATTTCACAAATTATTATTAGAGTCTGAAAAATACAGTTGACTTGCCAAGACTGTTGTGCCATTTTCTTTTCCATCTTAGATTTAGGATACTCACCTTCCTAAGTTTTCTTCCCCCTCCAAAGAAAAAAAAAGTAAAAAAGTGAGACATTTAGAACGACTTGCTCAATGCTGAAGTGCTAGCAATCTTTGTTCATAGGAAGGACATGGTGAGTGACTCGTGTAAAAAAACCTGGCTACTTCCCCAGCTTTGGGTTGTAAAGGTTGCCTAACCACTGCTTGATGTGTATTAATATTTCAGGAACTGTTTTAAAGTAGAGGAAACATTTAAATACAACTGTCTTCCTGCTGGACACATGAAAAAATATAGCTGAATGCAAAATCATATTTACCGTAATGATTTCTTTTAAAAATCTTTGGAAACAATGAGATTCCATCAAAATGAAAGGAAGTGTAACCAGGGTTCAAAATACGTACATTTTTTCTCAGGTTGCCCACTAAAGCTAGGTTGCCCATCAACACAAGCTTTTCATTTTCAAAGGCAAGCTGTGGCGGGACAGTTCATTTCAGAAGCCACAAGCAGGGCCACTGTAAACTTTTAAAGGGTTGCTTTGTCAGAAAGCATGACCCGGGAAACTATAACTGAATGAAATACATGTAGTGAAGCACAGGGTGGAATTCTGTACCAAACTTGGATACTGGGGAAATGCTGTACATATATGACTCCAGCAGGGGATGTGGTTGTGTTTAAAAGTTGGCCCTGCCTTAAAATCTGTTCCAGACTGCTCACACAGAGTGTACCTGCCAGACTAGTGCAAAAATCCCATATGCCATGAAGGTAGGGTTAGGGTTAGCTCACTGGGGATCGTCTCGGCAGTCCTCACAATCTTCTTAACAAAGTGTATTTCATTTGGTCATTTAGATTTCATTCACACCCATCTGAAATTTTGCAGTGATTTTTGTGGTTAGCTACAGAAAAATGAGTAGGAAATGGATTTTGTTTTGGGAACTTTGTGAAGATTAATCTGAGATGTTCCCCAGACTAACGTTCGCTCACAGTTGGAGTTTGCATGTCACCTTGCATGTCACCTTGCATGTCCAGTTAGTTCAAACCTGCATTTTGTGAAACAACTGCTCATTGATAGCACTCATCAAATCCACCCATTTCATCCATATATGGTCTCCTCTCTGTCTGGCCGATATCTTGTTTGGTTCATTAATTTTTTGTACTAACTGATCTTCAGTAGATTTCCCAAGTTTTCTCAGAATGGTAATATTCCTTTAGCTAGTAGAGGAATATACAAAGTTTTTAAACACCAAAATGCACAAAAAAAATTGAAAACACAGTGTACAGTGTACGTTTAAAAGTTTGTTGTCTTTACCTTTGATGCACACTAGGTTTATACCTTGTTTGGAAGCTCCCGGTAGAAAAATCATTATGATTAAAAAATAATTGATTAAAAAAGTCATTAAAATTATGATTTATCATAATCTTAGACTCCTTTTTGCCAAGCCATTTGATATTGTTTCACGCTAGAGCTGTGTACCTAAACAAATTTTAGGTACAGGTACAGGTACAGGTACACAGGTTTAGGTACAGGTCCGGACCTGAACCTGTACCTGAACAATTCGACCAATTTATATGCTCTTCTGAACTCCTTCAATAACAAAAAAACATAAATAAACTTGATAGTTAAGGTTTATTCTTTGTTTATGGCGAATGCTCAGATAAAATATAGGCAAAACTAAGATGTTTTTGTTTTCATGAACACACTGTCCTTACACAGGCACCCATTGTTAACCAGCTATTTAAACATTTGAGGTCACAAATAGGCATAAAATTGGTGTGAAATTGTTTAGGTACAGTACCGGTACTGAGGGATTAGGTATTTTGGACCTGTACCTAATCAATTTTTCCGGTACAGTATCGGTACTGCGTACCGGTACACAGCTCTATTTCACGCACATCAAAATTTAGTATTAGTCAGGAATCAACATAGATATCTGTGAGACAGAAGGACAGATCATCCTCACAAGAACCACATGCATGCCCCCTGTCTAATGGTTCACGTACTGCATGCCCCATGATTTGCACTGTCAGGTGATGTTTGTTGCAGTGTTCACTTGCACCTGGAGCAGGGCACATTTGACTGGCTGTTTCTTTTCAAATGCCATTTCAATCTATATTTCACTCCATACCCTATTAGTAAGGATGAAATATATTGCTTGGTGTTTAAATCTTCAAAGTGACATCTGATTTTTATTGACTTACCCAATGAGCCTAACACAAAGTATGGATTTTCATGTCCAAAAGTTGTCCCTTAAAAATGAGATAGATTTTATATATTTTACAAACTATAATTCCAGCCAGTCCCCCTATGCCCAGCTCCACAGTTTGCATGCTCTGTTTGTTGGTTTGCTGTTGTTTGCTGTGTTTTTGTAAGGCTAGTCCATCAAAGAGGTGGGGGGCAGATGAGAAAATTTTCCACAAACCATTTTCATTCCTTCCTATTTTCACATCTCTATACCATCTATGTTTTAACTCAAGCCTTTGATTTCTTTCTTTACTCTTCTTGAATGCCCACATGTCATTGTTTTCATGTTAAAGTTCATCATCATCATCACAGTAACTCTTTGACTATCAGATTCTTTCTGTTTGCTTTAGACCTGATTTACAACCTTACGATACAAAAACTACATGTACATGCAAGCGTACAAAAACATTTTCACATTTTTCCTGGATATAGATTTAAATCGGCCTGCTTTGATGTACAGTCATCAAGAATATACCTTCAGTTGGTACTTTGAGGACTGGCGTACGATCTAAAGCTGGCCGATTTACATGTACACGGAAGAAAAATTTGACAGTTTACGTACATGTACGCGGTTTTTGCCTGCATGTAAATCAGGGGTTTTTTTTCAGTTTTTCGTACCAACTCCATATGCAATGTGCACCCTTGTTGTTCTGTCAAACCTATAACCCCACCTACTCTAATAAAACCATTGGGGAAAAATTCTCTGGTCTGCCCCTCCCCCACCTGGGAAGTGGACTAGCCCTAATTGTGGTGTGTTGTGGTGACTAACACTTGCAGCAAGTCTCACAAGTGGACCTTCCTGGGGAGTTACTCAACCAAGTCATGGTCATATCCTTACAGAAGAGCAAGGTGTTTCTATGTTTGTGTTTTCACCGTGCACGTACACAGACCTGCACTTGTAATGCATGGCGCACCACACTTTTAGGAACCGTAGATCATAACATCTTCCTGTAGGTCATAGTGAACTCAGGCCACAGCAAGTAAATTTTATGGATGACATCCTCCAGATCTAATGCGAGCGGGTGAAAAAAAACACAAGACGGGCAGAAAAAAACAAGGTTCCTACATTTTTACATTCTGACTCAATGGTAGAAATGGTTTTGATTGAGTGGGAACATCACATATATGCAGTTAACATCACATATCACTGTATCTAAGTAAGAAACAAAACCTTAAATCAGAGCCTTTTCTTGTCTTCTCTCTTCATAGTTATCTGCCATCCACCTTCCGGCATGGCAGCAGACATCTTTGCCCATTTTCCGCATGTTGCCACTGTCAGAAGGCGACATAATTTCTTGTTTTTTTTTTTCCCAAAATCAGCCAAAAACTAATGCGTGCATTGATGTCATCCATAAAAATTACTTGCTGTGGCCTTATAATTAACATTTCATGTCATCATTCAGCTCACTAGCAAGAAATCCAGTTATTCTGCTGGTTACAGTGTCATTTCTTACTGTGGTTGCATAGATGATGCACATTGTTTTTTTAACTGTTCACTAGTTGTATGACATAGACTGCTGAATGTAGAATCTATGTGGCAGTACAAATGTAAAATGTTTTAACTGTAATGCACAAATCTTGTAGTACTGTATTACATGTAGTTATACAATTATACTGGGGGAAGTAATGATTGAAATTCACATTTAGTGTTCTTTATAGGTACTAGGCACCCAGAAATTTCTTTTAAATCCTTTACCTGCATGTGCATGGCGTGTCCCTTACTAACTGAAACAGTCTAACACTTCTCAATCATTTACATGCACTGCAACCCTTTCTTTCACTAGTTTACCAAGCATCACTGCTATATATAGTTCTGGACAACTGTTTTCAAATCACTGTGCTGTTATGTATTGTTATCAATGATGCGGGGTGGGCATTAGTGCAATGGTATCCTTCTAAGAAAGTCCAAACCCTGTTCATATAACCACAGTTACTGTAGTCACCTGCCAGGAATCCTGCCATCACCACCACTATCACTATCACTATCACACCCTGTTAGTGTTCGTATAGTTAGTGTCATCTGCATGACTTAATGGGCCTAAATGGCAACATTCACCACTCAAAATATACCACTGTCAGTGGTGCTGAAATTTGTGCTGTTATTGCATAAGGTGCTGCCAGTGGAAGATTCAAAATCTGCAAACTTCTCTGTATTGACTACACATGTATGATGCCCTAGTCTGTAAATTGGAGACTATTCAATACATCAATTCACTTTCAGCCAAAAAGAACAACACTGAAAGTAACTTTCCGACATCTGTTTTAATATAACCTGATAGTTCTAGGCCCGTGTACTGTCAAAGACAGCCATAAGTCATAGAGAAGAAACTGACATCTGTGTATTTCCTTCTTGTTGTTCTGTCTGTTTGTTGGATGGATACAATACAATGTAGATGTGATGTTGGTTTCTATGTTTGACCTTTTGTCCTTGCCCCCCTCCCACAGACAGATTACCTGGAGGCCATTACCCAGGCTTACCTCAGGAGTGGAGTCATGTTGTCCAATGAACAAGCAAAAGGTGCGTACTGTCTCCTGTATGTTGGAATGGTTTATTATGACATCAACTACATTTATAGCTGTATGTGAACTGTGTATTGGCTAGCACCACATTTTAAATGAAGTGGAAAACAAAATAATGACAGACAATTTGGCATACTAGTATCTGACTACACTCCCCACCCACCCCCCTACAGAAGTGCCCCATTTCCGCTATGCCAGTGGACAGAAGCACCTGATCGAGGGTCTGTGTCCCCAGCATGACCAAAACTTTGCTGCTAACTACGTGGCCAACCACCTTAGTGACAACTACTCAGGTATGAACACAGTGTGGTGTTTCTGACTTCATCTCTTGTGTGGTTTCATTTCAGCTTTCAAATCCTCAAAATCAACATGATTGGCTTAAATGATAAGAAGCAAAACGTGCCTGCAGTGTAAAGTGCTTTAAGCAGTGGTGACTCTGAACCTTTGTTTTAATTTGAAACTATCATAATCGTGAAGCACATCTAAGATAGATTTTAAAGGTGGTATATAATGGTAAGGAATAACACCTTGAAAACTGTTTAAAATTCTGCATATGGTAAAATAAACTCTGTCATTTGCAAATAGCACGTCAGCAGCAAAGAACAGGAAAATACATATTAATCACATCATTCACATGTCATAATCATGATTGGTATGTTACTGAGTCTTTCTGAATTTGCAACAGGACAGAAAATTATAAGAAAAAGCCTGTAAGCTACAGAAAAGCAAAGTTCATCCTGTGGGCCATCTGCACAACATGTTGACAGAGCATACTGCGCCTGGGCAAACCCTGTAATGTATCATGTGTAACATCATATTTTCATAATCAAGCATGACATCCCATCTATGGTTTTGAAATGTTGTGTCAGAAAAGAAGTCCTCTGCAACAGGCAAAATTCTGAAGCAACGATGACCAAACATAATATCTTGAAAGTTCATCTGTGTTGGTAGAAATCACTATGAACCAAGTTTAAACTGCAATTTCCAACACAACAAATTGGACTCATCCAAATTTCCGACTGTACAATCCAGTCTTTCTCTTTGTCAAGGAATGAGCAATCCACCACTTCCGTGACGTCACACAGATAACACACATGACTCCGTGAGCAGTGGTTGCAGAAAGTCTGTGTCTCTGTTGAGCAATCTACATTCCAAACATTCAATGAAAAATCTGAGTTTTGCACTGGCACAGTACGTTCTGCCAACATGCCCACCTGCACCCTGTATCACCCTGCTCCTGTGTGTGTACATGTAGTGTGTGTAATGGTGTTGTGTTGTGTTGTGTTGTGGTGGTGGGTTCTGTCTCGTCTCTTACCCCACGTTGCACCGTGTCTGCCACGCCAGAAGGAGAAAACCCCCACGAGGACCCAGAGATGGACCCCGTACCGCCCGTCATGAGAGACGTGGCCTGTCAATGGTCACCTACTCAAGCAGGTTAATGTCTCAACTGCACCATTAACTAACCAGCTAACTAACCAACCAACCAGCTTGTCACTAATATCTGATCTAACCATGGGTGTGACTAATCATGTGATGTGTGTGATTACTAACTTAATAATATCTCTGTTAGAAAATGACATGCCTAATGATTCTTTTGTACTAACAGTGGGAATGAAATTACCACAATTTTTTTTGCTATCAGACTGATTGATTTAGAGTAGAATTTAAGGTAATTCTTTTTATTATATTGGCGTCTTTAATTAAAGAAAAAACACATAAGGAGCAAATCAATATTTTTTTCAAAAATTTCTTAGAAACATAGTACGCGTACATGTAATGTTGAAACAATTTTCTTCATTATGTAATGCATGTATTGATATGTAACTACTTATATCACAAAGATATAAGTGTATGTTCTGACAAAATTTGTCTTTGGGATTGTTCAATGCATGCATGGTTGTCTAACATACTGAGATATACTAGTCAAGGCTCGAAATTCATTTTTGGGAATAGGTGCACTGGTGCACCCAACCTAAAAAATTAGGTGCACCAAAACTTTTTTGAGCTTCCTGTACCTCCTGTATCAGATTTCAACTGCTTCCCTCAGTCATGAGCATTGCTACTTTGAAGACCTGACATGTGCAAATGGGCACTGGAAGTTCTACATTTGTATATTACCTGAACAAACAAAACTAACACAAATTGCTAACTTTGCAGTGTGTTTGGAGAGATGTTGTGTGAGGTGTTATTTTGAATGTGAGCATGGGTTATATGTACTACAATGTATGCTCTAACTTGTTTACAAAAATGTTTGTTTTAACTTGTTCACAGTGCATGTACATGTATGTTCTGACTTGCATGTACGTTGTTTGTTTCCACATTGTCTCCTGTTGTGGCTCTTACTAGCCCCCCTCCCCACCAGGCCAAGTGTAGCAGTGGAGAGGAAGACAAGACAGCGGTTTTTCCTTTCCCTCACACGTACAGATGAGCCTTACTTGTGCCCGTTTTGTGTGCCGTGCTTGTGATGGGGTTTTACTGTGTCTTTGGTGTCAGAAAATCCTAGACATTTATCCTGAATTTCCCAGAGCTTTGAGATCTTCAGGCGTAGTTACTTTTGAAAACATTCATCTTTCAAAGTGTTGAACAATTCGATTTAGATGTATCTAATGTTAAAATCTACATGTATTGTAGCATCCTCATTGAGTTACATAATACATGTTTGTGCCATTGCTTTGTGTTAAAGTTATCACTGTTTAAACTATGGTATGATAATGATAGCTATAATATCCAAGTTGTTATGTCCATATTTAGGTCTGAAGGTTTGTCAAGTTGTGTTGACCTCAGCGGGTCCTGTGCTCCATATCTTTCTAGCACCACTATTCAAAGCTATCTGCACACTTATTCTACTGCCAACCATTTATATGTGCAATATGCACCACTTCTGTCCAGCCTCTTCCCAACAATAGATTGGTTGGATTGACAAGATGTGCTATTGGAAGATATCAGACTACATGACTTTGTACATGTACATTGACTTAAGCTATGGATAGAATTCATTGTTTAGCTAGCCACCCAGATTTCTTTAACTCAAGTTTTCAAGGTCATGCAAAATTTTAGATAAAAAGAAATAATCTGACAACTTTCTATTAAGAAATGTGTGTTTTTGACCAAGATTTGTTTCCAGCTTGTGTGTGGTAGTTAGTGACTGAACACAGGTCTCCCTATGCATTACCACCACTCACAGGCAGCCAGCCCCCCTCCCGCACACACCAGCTCAGCTTCAAACTGGTGGAGTCCATGTCGCTGGACAAACAGACCCTGCAGAGGGGCTGTCAGAGGAAGCTGCAGGAGTACCTTGCCTGGAAGAGGCGCAATTCCCTCCCCAGCCCTCTCGGGAGCCCCAAACCGAGGGAGATGTCGGACAAGCCCACGATAACGATCAACTCGGTCGGCGTGGTGGTGGAGGCAGGCGTCCCCTTCCAGGTGATGAGCCGGTCGAGGGATTCCGAGATATCGCTCGCCGCAAGGAGGGCACTCCCGGGGATTGAGAAGGCCGTTTGTGTGGAGACTGCAAGATCAGGAGAAGACACAGAAAGACCTGATTATGGCATCGCCAACGATACAGACTTGTCTGACTTAGAGCTGCCCCAACAAGACCTGGGGGAGGCACGGTTTGGAACGAAGGGGCTCGACCACACGGTGTTATCCGCTGGACTCAAGCGACTGGTGGCCAAACCAGTACAGTGGAAGAAACCATCGAGCAGCTACAGAGTCCCTACACCATACAACGTTTCCCCAACAGCAGTCAAGCAATCGGTGTTCGGATTTCCCGGGGAGAGCGCCGTGGATGAAGGGCCTCCTCTGTGGAAGAACCCGGCAGATCATGATGGAGGGACAGAAGGAAAGTGCCGCAGAGCAGATGCTTCAGAGGCTGTATCCCGGGAGGTAAGTAGTAGGGGGAGAGCCAGCCAGTCAAAATCGGTGAGGATGACAAATGCAGTCATCGCGTTTCCAAGCAGGGATATGAGCAGAGAACCAAAAGAACCAGGAAGCGTCAAAGCTGAAAACAAGACAGTGCAATGCGACATGAAAGAACAAAACACAGAAGAGACTGTAGAAGACCTAGAGGAGCCGGTGACACTGAAGCAAGCTGTCTTCATGTTACCCCTGCCAACTGCCAGGACGGATGAAGACAGGACGTCCCCGTGGTGTGGCGGTAGAGACGAGTTTTGATTCTCAGGTGGACAGGTGGAGGGATTGGTGCAAACTACTCATCACTATCATCTTACTTATCATCTGACTAGCACAATCAATAGTTGGGAACAGTCTGAACACTCATTACTAACAGATATGCACTCAGTTCTAATGTCACTATAAGCATTTTTTGCAGCTTTGGTGCTGATACCTTTTAACTTTTGACCTGCATCTGACTATACAGCATGCACTGTGCTTTACTGTAAATGATCCCACAGTAATTCCTACAACTGTTCCATGAAAATTTGTTATACGGAAGTCCCTATGATATGTACATTGGCAGAAGAGAATGTAAGAAATCCAAGTCACAGCAGGTAGCAGATACATGTATTATCTAACAAGGGTTCGATGTCATTCATACAGAAAGTCTTAGCCAAGTCTACTTTGACTTAGCAAGACGAAAAGGATCACTTGCTTTGTTTACAGTTTAATGTAGTCATTTTTACAACACTGTTCTTCCAAAGATTCTTACTCTGGAATGATGTAAAATTCTACATGATTGGTATCAAAATACAACCAATGACAGATGAAGTCAGTTTAGAAAAGGAGCATTTTCTTGTCGTCAGTGAGTTTAGAGGTGAATGTTGAGAAGGTTGCAGTCAGTATGAAGTTCCATATGAACAATGGTGGAATAAAAAGTTTTCGAAGGCTCTTCTCCGAAACAGATAGTACCAGTAAAATACTTATTAACAATCTATAGACTTTTTAGGCTTTACTGATCCCTCAAATTATGACTTTCAGCAGCTTACATAGGATATTTTGTCCTGTTTGTTATTTGTGGACCACAATGGAAAATTTCAGGGGAAAGTAGTCAGGAAGATTTTTTAATCCCCTTTTTAATTTCCTGTAGTCTGTAATTTAAAAACTTTAAGACCATTTTTAAATCCAAGTACTAAGTCAATCTGCAGCAATGAGATGTAAGAAGTATCAAAATGCACATGATGGGTCACCATATACTAATCAAATATATCTTCATTATTCACACATTTCCTACTGATCAGAGGCAGTTACCTGTTCCAGACTGGGTCCATTTCAGCTGTAAACCCACCCCATAGACAATAACCCTCACAGTAATCCAAACACACAGTCACAGAACATTTTCTATACAATCTGCACTCTACTAACCAGTAAAGGTTTCTCATCCTTTCCAGGCTGGTGAAGGGATTTTACATGTAGAAATTAGGCCACAACAATTTAATTAGTTGTTTCTCGGATTCACCCTGTCCATTTTTTCTGATTTGCAAAAAAAAAAAAATTGGGGGGGGGGGTTCTAAATCAACTGCAAAATGCCCAATAAAAGACATATTTTGGCCCCAACGGTTGAAGAAAGTCCTTTTCTTCCTAGTTGTTTAAGTTTTTCAATGTAACAATTCAATTTTGTTTCCTTAAAAGTTCAAAATTTATTGTTTTAATTATAAATTGTAACATTTCCAGCTATCATGGGGTGCCTTGGCCTGTTGTTTTTTTTTCGCCCTGTTGCTTCATTAAAAAAAAATTATTTTTTCTGAAAAAATCCGAGAAACAACAAATTAAATTGGTGTGGCCTAATGTTTCAAATGTTTTGTAGCTCAGTTGTAGCCTCTGGTGGAAAGGGGGTCTATGGGTAGTCTCCACCAAACTAACAACGTAGGTTCAAATACAGTAACATTTTAGCCAAACAGGGAGAGGAATTGACCAGGTTTGAACTGACTCTCCTGGCCAATTATTTCCCTTTTTTGCCGAATTCTACAATCTGTAATTCCATAGTATTAATAAAGGCCAGGTGGAGGCTAGGCTTGAAGTGCTCATGACACCAAAATATGACTTAAGCTGATTGTATTGGACATAACTAGTATTCCCTGGCTAACAGACACATTTACAATAAATATGCACGGTTCTCCTGTTACATTCGAAATTCTAATGTCCAGCCTTGGAAAAGTCAGCACAAGCCAGTACTGGCAGGCAAGTTGCATCTCTGTGTTTTATTTTTGCATATCTGTATTTTGTCCTGAGCTGACGTCACCCAGTGATGTCAGTTTAGGAAAAAGAACAGAAATGCAAAATAAAACACAGAGATGCAAAATGTATAGAGATGCCCGAAGTGGGCGATTGGGAAGCTTGCTGGAGAGTCTCCACTTTAGAAGGCCGTACAAGCTCAATTTCTCAGTCATCATGATTGGAACAAACTTCAATATACATGTATTGTATGTACACTTCCGATATTTGTATGTACTTTACAGACTTATTTTGGTGTCATGAGCACTTTAAGATCCATTTCAACTGATAAATGCACTTCATTCATCATCACTGTCACAGCAACACAAAGAAACATGCAGTGCTCCATTTTGAAGTACTGATGAACACGTTGGGTTTTTTCTTACCTCTAGAAGAACCAGTAGAACCTATGGAGATAGAGAAGAGACACAAGGAGGATCCTAACAAGAGACTGATGTCCCAGAAACACCTGGTGGAGCTGTCAGCTAAGGTACAGAGACAACACGAACAGTCCATCCAGGTGAGTTTTATTTTTAACAGGTTTGCTCAGTACAACACCACATTGACTACTTACGGCTCTGAACCAATGCTCACTGCAGCAGCATCTCTTCTCCCTAAATAGTCAAAGCAGGGGTTACAACTTAGGCAGCTCGTGAACTTATAACTGTGGCAGGTTCGAGGTGTGGTTCTCCTCAAACACAGGACCTCTTGTATTTAACGTCCTATATATCTATAGATTGACATTTTGTGATTTTCCTCATCACACCATGGAGATAACATAATAGACTTTGACTTTATTGAGATTGCAACAAGTTACTAGCAGCTACTAGCTAATAATGGCCACAAGAGACCATGTTGTTGAATGTTGCTCTACATGTACATCTGCAGGCTCAGAGAGACAGGAGAACCCAGCGAGCACAGAGCCCCATCAAGCAGCACCCCTCCCCGTTTGACGAGGGGCATTCCAAGGCAGCTTCTAGAATAGGTGAGCAACAGAACAGCGTTTGTCACAACTGTGTCACAACAAATTATCTGGTGCTGAGAACAAGGCCTTTGTATGCCTCTGTATTTCACCCATCTATAAATTGTAGTAATTTAAGTCTCTAAATGCTCTGCAGGTTCTTCAATAGAGAGAGAACCCAAGTCCAGAGTGGGCTCTGCTACAATAGTCAGTGTGCAAAGCAGGTTGGTTAATCCTTCTCTCTCATATCAATTATTATTTGCACCAATTTTGGTGCAATGATAAGTGTTTTAACACTCTTATCTTTGCACCAAAATTGGTCAATTCACTGTTAGTATTGTAACTCAGAGAAGATACTGTCATGTGAAAATACACATGTAGCAGAAATGCTACACATTGTGCAGAATTATAAGCAGACATTGTGACAACAACTAGTAGATTTTTCACTAATTCCCCACAAAAAACTGCATCTACAGCAGAACACTTTACCTTTGAAACCGCATACATGTATGTCCCTATAATGTAACAATGACAAGTATGTATGTCACAATTGCACTACGTTCGGAAATGCATTGTTAACAGTAAAAACATAAAAAAACTTAAGTGCACTGTGAACCAAGTAACAGTGCACTATGAACTATGTAACACCTTTAGTGCACTATGCACCAAGTAACATCTAGTGTTAGTGCACAGTAAGCCAGTCAGAATTGCCCTGATGAAGATGACAGATGGTCATCAAAATGTCGGCTCGTAAAAAATAAATGGTTGTGATCAAAGAACTTTGCTATTCATGCCTCTACAACAATTTTCCTTGATTGAAACCAACTGCTGACCCTGCCCCTCCCCAGAGCGCCCACGGTTCAGTCCAGGGTGAGTTCTGGAGTAACGCGGGTGGCCGAGAGGATCGGCAGCGCCACCTACAGTATCCCCAAGGGATCGCAGGTCTTCACCGGAGCACAGATCGTACCGCGGGCCAGGAACGCGGAAGAGTCGAGCGACTCCTCAGACACACACATCAAGTCCTTCAAAGCAGAAAGTAAGGAAGACAACCAATGCCTGTTAGCTTGACAGTTCATCTGTTAGTAGAAGTCATGCTGAAGCAAGTTTAAACTGTAATTTCCAACACAAGAAAATTGGACTTACCCAGATATGTGACTGGCCAACTCCAGTCTTTTTCAGAATGATGTGTTTTTTAAAGACTGGTTTTGGTCATGTTGTAAAAATTTGGGTTAGTCCTGCTTTTTGTGCTGGCCATTACAGTTCAACCTTGATTCAGAACCAATGTTTGTGTACTAGTTGCAGTAGCTAGTCTCATAGTTTTGCTTCGTGAGTTCCTTTCCAAATATTTTATGGAAGTGCTGAAAAAGGTTGTCAAAAAGAAACAGTTTTAGAAACTAAACGTTAACTTTGATCATGGAAAAAGTTGTGCAAGACGTACATTCTACGTAGTTTCCCCAACTTTCCAAATGGAATAGCTCAAAATTATATCACCCCTAGGCCACACCAATTTAATTTCTTGGTTAACGGATTTGCCCGCTTCATTTTTTCTGATTTGCAAAAGAAAAAAAAAGATTCTGCTCAAGAATCAACTGCAAAATGCTCATATTTTGCCCTGAACATTTGAAAACAGTCATTTTCTTCCTAGTTGTTACAGTTATTCCATCTTTCAATGCAGTGGTTTCATCAAAAGTTCAAAATTCATTGTTTAAATTTTGAACTAGCCTGGTGTGTTGACTTCGTGGCTCCTATCATACCATTTTGGGCCATAATAGGATGCCTAGGCCTGTTTTTATTTTTATTTTTTTTGCCCGCCCGCTTCATTATTTTTCTAAAAAAAAATCCGTTAACCAAGAAATTAGATTAGTGTGGCCCTAGAAGTAAGAAAATAAATGTAGACTGTATGTAGACTAAGTGCATGTTTTTGCAGTAGTGTAGAGTGCACCCTACTCACCCACTCTCTACTCTTACTTTACAGTAGCCAGTAGTCAGCCCCCGCCTAGCGGTGTAGCTCAGTCCCACTATACTCCCCCCTCCAAGGCCTGGAAGTGTAAGTCTTCTCCTCATCTGGGCATCTTGTGTGTTTTGTTTTGTCTTCAGTAAGGCCTTGTTGATTTGATTATATGGATGACATCCTCTGGGAACCCCAAAACTGATGCAAGCGTGCGAATAAAAAAAAACTTTTGCAAAAAAAAAAGTTGCTTTCATTATGAAATCTACGTGGTCGTGAATGTCGATCAAATCACACAAAGTATGGTTTGGCGAATAATCTACTCTTCAAATTCATTTCTTTACATTTTCATCTTTTTTGTTTGATTTTGGCATTCTACGACATTGGAATCGTTTTCAAATATTTCTTTGCAACTCACGGTATATATTTGCTCATTTTGCAACAGTTACAGTATCGTACAATTTACAGTATGGTTGAAAAGTTTGTTTTTTTTTGGAACGGCCGAAAAATCATGCGCATGCAGATGTCATCCATATTATAATCAAATCAACATGGCCTTTTACTTATCAATTCTCTACAAACACCATTTCTACATTGTCATGTGTTTTATCGTACTTTGGACATGTTTCAATGTCTGGAAGCTACATGGAATCTTCGACTGGTGACTGGATAGATTTTGAAAACTGTTCGATGTTTCAAGTAGCATCCATTTACTTTTTATCAGTGACTAAATGGATCTGTAGTTGAAAACTAGATATGCATCCAAAAAAGTATGAATGGAATAGAATCTAGATTATTTTAACCTTTTTTCCACTTACTGAAATCACTTAAAAACTAAGATACAATTGAAAGTTCATTTGACATTTTTGTGGAGCATGTCTGTAAGATGTAGTTTTGCCTTGCTGCTGTTCCACAGCTAAGCAGTACACAGTCCCCTCCTCTACTGCCATCACTGAGGTCACCAGACAGGGCACGCCTGGTAAGATACAACAACACCATTAAGTTATGATTAGGCCACACCAATTTAATTTGTTGTTTCTCGGATTTTTTCACAAAAAAATATGAAGCGACAGGATGAAATAAAAAAAAACAGGCCAAGGCACCCAGGGGTACCCCATGATAGCTGGAAATGTTACAATATGAGCCATGAAGTTAACATACCAGGCTGGTTTATAATTAAAACAATAAATTTTGAACTTTTAATGGAACAAAGTTGTATTGTTACATTGAAAAACTTAAACAACTTGGATGGAAAGGAATTACTTCAACCATTCGGGCCAAAATATGTCTTTTATTGAGCAATTTGCAGTAACAGTTTATTACTGTTGATTTAGAACCTAAAAAAAATTTTTTTTTGGCAAATCAGAAAAAAAATGGACAGGGCAAATCCGAGAAACAACAAATTAAATTGGTGTGGCCTTACCTCAATGCGTTTGTCTTAATTTGTATTTCCATAGTTATTTCCAAATCCTGGGCACCTCAGAGACACTGACAGGGAGTTAGTTCAAAGATCCCATTTCCTGTCTTCAATTTCCTGCTACATGCATACATTTTATCAGATTCTGTTGCATTTTGAGGACCAGTGGGAAAATGCATCTTGCATCTATTAAACAGAATCAATGAGAAAGTCACAATATTGAATTTTAATAAAACAAGAAATTTGCAAAACCTCATTGATGCAATATTTCTCAGAGGCATCAGAATCTGATCCTCGATTTCTTAATATTTTATAATTATATGTATTTTATTTATCGATATTGTTTACTGATCTGTTTTTCGGGTACTTTTAAACTAATTTTTAGAAATGCCATACTGTAAATGGGTAAATGAGATGAAGATAAAATAAAGAAAAAAGTACTTGAAATAAAAATTAACTGAAAAAAGAAAATACATTTGTATGATTTCCCCTCCAGCTGCCTACCCAGCGCGGGCTCCAGACAAGGACCCTGTTACCATGACGACAGTTCCAGGCTTTGCCTCCATTCCTGTCAAAAAGGTCGTGCCAAAGGACATGAAGGTGACCTTGACTTCTGGGGATACAAAATCGATCTTAAGTGATTTATATAAATTATAATATACAATGTATATAAAGCTATATAATAATAGTCTTAAGGTAGGACCAGGGGGTGGCTGATCAAGTTTTCAAAATAATTCATTTAAAAAAAACATATAATTTGGTAGCTATGTAGGTCTAGTTTCGTAATCTGTCATGGTCGTTCCTCAATTGTTGCTATTTGGCCACAAAATTCACCGAAAAAAGATTCAACCACTACTGGACTATTGTAGAGTGTACATGTAACTTTCCATCAAATTAAAAGATGGTAGACTATAATAATATTGGATACTTTCAAACATGAGTTCTCGAGTTAGATTTGCAGATATACAAATGTAAGGTGATAGTATTTTTGGCTGTGTTTAGAATAGCGTACAGCTTCTTAGAATTAGAGGAAATTAAATGTTGCCAAAACTTGCCAGGCTCTGTTGCCAAAACTTGCCATATTTTGTATGTTGTACAACTGTTGTGCCATTAAGTCCATTCAAAGTTCATTTATGGAATCTCCATCCAGCCTGAACCCAAGCCGTTACCCACCAAGCCACCTGCACGCCCAGCTGCCAACAGTCCCGACCCAAACTCTGCCCTGGCTAACATCGGTGACCTCAGGAAGTCTCTTATAGAACCACCCGACAGGGTCAAGGTGTCACCGGAAAAATCACAGGACAGACCCAGGAGGTGAGAGGAAAGATATACTGTTATATCCTTTTTTTTTTTTTAAGTTCTTTCTTTTTATTCATTTCAAGATAGAAAAACAAAATTATGGCACAACAACATTCGTGACGCACATGCATGAGAACAAAACTGATACATGTACATAAAACCAGTAGACAATAAAGACAGAAGTAATGAGAAATTATGCTGTTTTATACGCCAAAAAGCACTTACTCATTCAAGCAACTGGATATGATTTTGGGTTTCAGCTACATGTAGTATCCACTAGCTTTTATCAGTGACTGAGTCAGTCACTGATGAAAGCTAGTGGATACTAGCTGAAATGTCTGACTGTTTCCAAAATCATATCCAGTTGCTTGAGTAACTGCTTTTTGGCGTATCGTATTTACCTGGCAGTGGATGTCTAACCTTCATCGACATATGCTGTTATATCCTTGATGAAACCTTGCGTTGGTAGGAAAAATGATCCATTTCCATGTTGGCACAACTTTGGAGGATGCAGTTTGGAGCTTAGGCAGCCCATTAAAGGATAAAATGATAGTTCAATTTCTAAACTGCATCAGCAACTATTGCTATAATGTATTGCAGTCAAATGCATATTAATATTAAGTATTTTAATCATTATGACAGTCACTCATAGAACTTTGCACTTTAGCCCTATAACTTGCAAGTTCTTGCAATTCATAAGCTGCTGGCTCCTCAGACCTCCCAATACCATAGACAGTTTGCTGGTACATGTACACGTTGGCACTGACTGTGTTATGATGTCCTGTTTCCAGAGACACGTATGTTCGTGAGCTGCATGCCAGACACCCAGACCCTGACAACCCAGCAACCAATCAGGAAGCAGAGGAGGGAGAAGAAATAGCCAGGGTGGGTCCAATGGAATTTTCAACCCAAAATACTGATACCAACAACTCTGACTTGTGTTATAGAATCATACATTCATGTACATGTAGCATTGTGGAAATAATTCATCTTCTGTTGTAGTATCATACAAATCATGGAAAACTATTTTTAAAAAGATAGGAGCACTGCCTATGCAATTCCATGTGGAATGGCCTGTTACTTTGCTTAGGTTACCTTGTGCACATTTTAGTCATTATGAGGGTCTTTTGCGCCTAGAATTCCATTCTACTTACTAGTATCTATTCTACGTATCTCATATATGCCACATGCTACTTACATGTACATGTCCAATGTACAACATCACCCTTGCGGACTCGAGGTAGAATAGTCCTGTGTAAACACTAATTGAGATCCTGATAAAACAAACAAACAAACACGCAAATGTAACATGATAATATTATTATCTTCTTATTTATGTCCTACCTGGGCCGCTTGAACGCGTTTCGCCCTAACTGCGTGCACCGCTTTTGAAAATTCGAACACAAAATTCAGACGTTGGAATTGATGTTGTTGCATTTTTTGGGTTTAGCGACACCAAATTTTTGCCCATTTCGCATTAAAAGGCATGTTTTCTTGGGTGGGTATGACATAAATTAAATACAACACGGGGCATTCTGCATCACCCTCGGTCCCAGCCCTCCCGCGTACCAGATCTCCCTCCGGCCTTCAGCTGTCGGGCGATCCGACGTGCGGTCGGACTGGTACCTCCAGCGATACGGAATACACCGTGTTGTATTCTATATGTATATACATGTAAGTACTCATAGTGTTTCATTCAATCAAAAATCTTCTATTTTTGTTTCTCCACAGACAGGAGAGAAGTCCCCTGACCTGGACCCCGCCCACCCCAGCCTGGAGTGGCGCCATCGCGACCCCCGCCACCGCCCCGGCCCCGAGTTCATCCCCGTTGCCATGGAGAAGATCAGCATGAAGGACCTGGAGATGGCTCCGAGGAACGCCGCGCCGAGGGAGCGCCCGTCCACGCAGCAATACGTCCCACAGCAGTACAGTATGGAGCGGCCGCAGGGACAGCCTCGGGAGGAGAACCCCAAAGTACACAGCTACGGCACGGGAGGGAAGCTGGTCGGGCCTTTCAGGTAAGTATCATTTAGGCCACACCAAGTAAATTTTATGGATGACGTCCTTTAGAGACCCTATATCTAATGCGAGAGGGCAAAAAAAAACAAGAAGGGCCCTAAAAACAAGATGCCTAGATTAGAAATATACTAAGAGATGACAAATGTTAGGACACAAATTGAATGAGGTGACACAGATTAACAAGCAAGAAGTCTTTTATTCATCATCAAAACAGCAATAAATCAGGTGGAACAGCAGTTGTCGTCCTGTCCTGTTTCTTTCATCACATTTTTGCAGGCCTGCAGAAACAAAGCATGTGCTCTTTACCCATTCCGTGTTACGGGTTTCATATCAATGTAATGATTTGCGGCACTGTCGTGACTCTTTGGTCATAGTTACAGGAAGCGGAATTTCTTGTTTTTTTTTCTAGGAACAGGCCAAAATCAATGCATGCGTATACGTCATCCATAAAATTTACTTGGTGTGGCCTTATCGTGACATGCCTGGTTCCACAAAATGTCATAATTATGTCACTTTATACATTTATTATCCATGGAGCAGACCAAAATTCTCTTTTTGTCCTTCTCTACCTACAGTAGAGAAAAGCAGCCGACAGTTTCAGCAAGCAAGCAGCTGACGTCCAGTTTCCAGGACATCGTGTGTCGGCGGGACCGGGAGGGCGCAGGGGCCGCGGACGACACGGACGAGCCGCAGGATTCGCGGGAGAACAGCGGCAGCAGCCACGAGGGCAGGAGACAGGAGACCAGCATAGAGAGGGCCAGCACCGTGCCGGTTAGACAGTCTGAGGTACGCTGCAGCTTTGTTTGTTTCGCATAACCGGTAAACCGCCTTTAGGCGTAACACACCAGTTTTGTACATGTGCGTACATGTACAAGCTGCGTAAGGCCGGACTGTAAGGTTTGAACCACTCTCACCGGGAAGGACCCCTACTCTCTTTCCAAAGGTGCGGTGGGTTCTTTAATGTGTGTGGGGTGTGGCTCTCCCCAAACACGGGACCTCCATTTAACGTCCTATCCGAGGACGTCCCTAACCAAAGCTAGGTACTCATTTCCACCTGAGTGAAGTGAGGAAAGTCGTGTACAGTGCCTTTCCCAAGGGCACAAGATCGGTGACATGGGCAGGATTTGAACCCGTGACCTCTTGTGTGTGAGCCGAACGCACTACCGACTGTGCCACACGACCCCAGATTACAACAGCTTACAACATTTAATGTACATGTTGTATAAAAGGACGTCTATACACTGTCAAAACTGCCCAAGAAGACTACTCAGGGTACAGATACAATCTGTATGTGGGCAGGTGGTCACTATAGACGGGCTTCAAATGCACATGATTTATCTTAACACTGATGTAACATCACAAACTGCATACCATGTATATGCTGGAAGACTTATTTAGGGAATTTTTGGATGCACTTTTTGAGCAAAATCTGGCAGAACTTAGGCGATTTGGGATGAACACACTTGAATCTCTCCTAGCAAATGCTTATTGTATCCGATATTTGCTTGCTTTAAGGCCTAATGAGTAATGTTTGTTTTTCCTTCATCACAGCCAAATATCTACTACGGTCGGCTGGCGTCCCCCTCCCGCACATGGCGCATGCCCACCATGTTTGACCATCTCCAGCCAGGTAAGGGTTTAGGTGGAATTTTTGGTCTCTTTCTTATATCTAAACTGTGGACCTTGGAGTGGAATCCAGCTTTAAGAATCTATAACTACAAACAATTACACTGTTGGTATTTCAATTAAGATTTTTAAAGGCAAATGCTGTACAGTTTCTTGTTCCATTTTTAGGGTGAGGGTTTAAGATCATAACGATGTGTGTCATTTTGACCACTGACAGTGATTTTTGACATAGAGTACTGTAACAGTTATATCCACACAAAAAATATAGAATAGAATAGTCTACAAACCACACAGGCCAATTGACATCCGGATCCGTTTTGTTGAAATGTAGACACGCTCGTACCATCCCTGTACGTAGTTGAATGGTCATATACCATTATTACATTTTTGTACGTCACAGTTTGTTTACCTGTTCTAAAGAACATTCTAGAACGGTCAGTTAAGGAATAAAGATCATTTCAAAGTTTTCAAAGTAAGGTATGTCTGATTTTTGCTGCGTCTAGTTGTGTTGACACAGCATTACATGCCGCATGGGTGATTTAGTTATGACATTAGACGAAAGTAGTACTGTATAAGGGCCTTATATCAAGGCTAACGCTACACAAACACACACTGCGCTACACACCCCTGTACAATATAAACGTCGATTGACCGGCATTCATTGCAGTAAACAAACTGTGACGTAATAATGTTATACATGTAGGTCCATTGTAGAAGTTGTTGTAGTTGATGCATGATGTGATTACCATGTCCCCACCAGAGTACCGGCGTCAGGACTTCACCATCCGGCCCGAGCCCATCTCCATCCCGTCCTCACGGAAAAGGATCTCACGCGCCCAGAACATGTGACTGCCGTTTCCTCTCTCCTGAACACGTCGGCAGAACGTACTGCACCTGCGCGAAACCCTGATTTTTCACGGTTTTTGTTGGATGTTTGCATCAGAATTTGATTGTTGCAGACATTATTTTTTCCGACATAACATTTGGAGACTACAGACGGGGTGTTAACCTTATATGCACAAATACTACCTTATATGAGACATTCTGCCGAAGTGCTATGCACAATTATATATTATGGGTTTCGCGCAGGTGCAGTACGTTCTGCCGATGTGCCTCTCTCCTGCCGCATCTGCTCTGCACACTGACTGTGTTCATTTTGTTTTCAGCTGCACTGCATTTATTTTCAGTTCAATGTTTTATTTTCCCATTCCTCACATGCTTTTTACTAATAGCAAGAAACCATCCAGGAAAACCACCAGGCAAACAAATTTGATTTTATGGACAACATCTGACGGAAAATTTCAAGTGCTTACAATGCTGAACAATTAAGGCTCCTTTCTTTTGGCACTCTTCCATTTGAATAATGTTGTCCGTTAGAATCAAATTTGTCCAGCCATACCCAAAACTGCTAGTCTCCACCAGACTAACAAGATGGCTGAAAAAATTAGTAGACTAGTAGTAGTAAAATGTTGTCAAACAGGGAGAAGGGGAGTTTGGCCATCATACATGTACATGTAGGGTTTCCATTGCCCAATGGGAAACTTTACCACTCTCCTGGCACAGTTCATCCTGTTTTTTTGCCAAATTCTCCTTGTATCCAGTGCTTTATCCAGAACCATGCTCAAACACAGTTTTGGATAGTCCAAGTGTATCCAAAACCATGCCTGTGGCAAGTCGTTGGACATACAGAGACTATCCAGAACCATATCCTAACCCTGAGCAATTCATGCATAGATTCTGAACTATATTATGGCATGGTTCTGGGTACAATACTACTATCCATAAGCCCTTAGGAAGGCCTGGTGGAGGCTATCACATGGATGTTTCCTCTCCACTGATAAACAGTATCTGGTTCTTCACATGCAGACAGGTTGGAGAAGATGACAACAAGAAAACTGCTCGCTTTTTTTATTTTGTTTTGCCTGCTGCTTATTGCACATTATATGACACATTCACACTTATAGTATATGCTGCATGTTTTTATTTTTACATTGCTTGAAGGCGTTTGAAGAAACACACTACTAACTTTTGTGCTGTCTAATTGTGAGTGTTTGACCCTGGTCGGTGGTGGAGTATTAATCAATTAAGAGAAGCAAAAATTGCTCTATATTAAAACTTGACTTGCTAGTATTACTCATAATGCCAGGAATTAGTTAGGACATTATATTACATGTACATGTAGTATGTCACTTTTGTAAGCTGTGTCTGAAAATTAACTTGAGACAAGACAAGATGACAAATTGATGTTCAGTTGATCGGAGGTATTGGCTTTCATCTTTAAAGGGTCCTGACAACCTCGTCAGAAGAAATACCAGTCACTTTGTTTCATTGAGGTCTCCTGAAATAAATTTATGAAGCACATAGGAGGCAAAAAGTGTGCTTTTTCTCATAGATACGGCTAAGATTAGGATATTCTAGCAATATTGCATTGCATAACTCATTCAATCTTTGTCTTCGTATTAAAGTATTTTGTTTATTGATGATCGTCTATCTTTATTTCACAATGTAAAAGTGGGCTTGTCGAGTAGTGTTCTCAGTAGAAATCAAAAGTCATATATATTAAGAAATACTTGCTGACAAATAATGTATTACCTTGTCCATGTACTAAGATGGAGGCATGCCATAGTTTTCCTGTCTCTGACCTGTTTTTCCCCACCCCACAGGAAGTTCCCATCCGTCCATGGTTTCTCTTTCAATCGGCCAAATGCCCCACAGTAGGGGGGAGAAAGATCACCGCAGCTCCGGCTTCCTGGGGCAGAGGAAACTCTACCCACCCCTCCTCAGGTACAAGCAGTCCAAGAGGAAATAACACAGGACCTGACACTACACATGCCCGTAGCCAGGGGGGTTCGGAAGAACACCCGCCACAAGGCTGAAAGGTCCCCTTTTTGGTCCACATTTTATGTAAAGGTCCAAGAATTCTCTTGAAAAGATGGACTGGAATCGTAGAAAAACTGCTCCCGTTGTCATTGAATAAAAATTTATCTCTGATTTTTTCTTGGAAATCCTCTCAAAAATGCACGAAATGCCATTTTAGAAGGTTCATTTTTCAAAATTTCCGGGAGAGCATGCCCCCGGACCCCCCTAGGAACCTCACGCCTTCGGCGCTCGCCTCGCGCCTACGGCGCTCGCTGGTCCCCTCAAGCAGTGGGAAGAACCCCCCCATTTAAAATCCTGGCTACGGGCATGCTACACCTCTGCCAACGTTCAGCTCAGCTCTGGATACAAACATAATGCCTTGCCTAAAAGTGGAAGCAATGTAAAGGGAGAAAGAGACAGTCCTGGCCAAAACCTCTACTACACCGCAACATTTGTTTAAAAATTATCGTTGGCTGGAACCAAGGTGGAAACCCTGTTTCGCAAGTGCCAGGAACCCCTTACTGAGACAACAGTATACCATAGGGGTTGGTTAAAAAAGTGTGAAAGTTTTACAATTAAAATGTTTCTCTTCCAGAGATATCCACCTAAAATACATGTAAGCAGGTCTTTTAACATTTTGCTTGTTGAGTCTAAAAGGCCCAAGAATTCACTCACTCACAAAAGAAAAGAACTTCATGTATCAATGTAGGTATTCACTGTTGAGATTTGTGCAAAGTTGGAATTTGCATCTTGTATAGGAAGTAAATCTTTCATCATTATTTGCAGTAAAGGCAATTGTTTTCAAGGTCAGATATCCGATTGAAGGTCATGAAATCAAAGTTTGTCCTTTTTTTAATGCATGACAACCTGAACAGCTAACGGAACTGAAGTAGCGTATACAAGAAGAGCAGTCAGAACTTTAACCTTCTTCCTGCTGCCTAGTCCTTTTTCCAACACAATTTTGGCACCAAAAGTCTACCTAGTACAGTATGGAGAGGGTTAAAGTTATGTATCACTATGTACCTGGTATACATTGTATGCAAATGTGCTGCTGGAAATAACATATCCTCTTAACCCTTAGAAAGAATTGTTCTACTAAACCTTAACATTTGAAGGGTTAAGGTCCTATTTACCTGTATGTAAAAATTAAAGCAGTTACACATTTTACTTGTTTGTACAGTAGAGAAATAAACTGTTTTGTATAGATTAGTAAGCAAAAATTGTATACTATTCAATAGTTATAGGTTTTGTATCGCCCAAATATCATGCCTGTCCACACATTTATAAAGCCTTGCCAACAAATGTTATAGCATGAGCTGGAAACACGTTATATATGATACCGTCCAAGTTTAACTGCAGTCATCAATGTTCCACACTGCAGTTTTTTGCAGGGCCTCTTTGCTGCAATAAAAAACGTCCATGCTGCATAACATTGTAACTTTTAGAGATGTATAACATTCGTAAAACGCTGTTTCTGTTAATCAAATATGAATATAGTAGTTACATATGTTTGTATATATATTAAGCTTTGTTATGTATATATTGTACGTTTATTTTGAGATTGCCGTCCGCATGTATGTTGCTGTTTCTAACTGCGCTTCACAAGGTATATCCATATCCTGCGATGCCATTATTCTTCTAAATGTTGCAGTTTTCCTCATGCTTTTCTTCCGACTGGGGGGAGAATATTTTTGTAAGAAGTAAAGAAAGTTGGTCACTGTAATCCGAGTATGATTCTTGTTTTGTTTTCCTTACTCTCTTTAAATGATCATTTCAAGAAGGCAGCAGGCTGTCCTTTTTCTTCCAGAAAGATGACATGACAGACACTCGTATTCTATTTCACATGTAAACCTCCTTGTTAACGTCATTCCCTGTTTGTGTGATCAGACATTCACAGTTCCACATACATACACACAAACAGTTCTATTCCTGTAACTTGCAGAACAGAAAAGTGACATTTTGATTGCCTTCCTGAACTTAGCATAACAGTTATGAGGTACTCCCAAATTTGAGAGAACCCCCACCCCATTAACCCCCCCCTCCTATATGAAATAAATCACATCACCCACAAGAAGATATGATGCAAGCATAATTATTATAATGGTTTTATTGTTGCAAGCACTTGTGACACCCATGATACACATTTCCCAACTTGATTCAACCATAAAAGTATTATTTTATAAACAAAGAGGTTTGTACAAAATATTGAGTGAACATCAATTCCATGTTCCAGTTCTTGATTCCTGGAACTAACAAATTTTGTATTTCTTATAGTACATTGTATATTTTCATCTTTTTAATTCATTTCATCTCAATAATAATATTGGTCACTTCCAAAGCTGTCATCAGATATGAAACTTCTTTTTTTATGTTTACTGCAAATTTTTAAGTTAAACAACTAGAAAGGCCAACATTTGCTTTGGAGCAAATTCAGCATGGCTTCACCACATTTCTGTATCAGTATAGCTGGTATAACCGCCTTTCGGCACAACACACCAGCTTCACAGGCACGCGGCGCGGTGGCAGGGAAACATTTCACGACATGGCAGGGAAAGAAGGAGAAATACAAGGGAAAACAATTCTTTACATTGATATAACTATAGTGTGAAGTGACAACAGTTGGATAGCTATCCCCTACATTATTGGTTAGGATTTCTAATTGCATAATGCAAACTGTTGATTTTCAAGATAAAAAGGAGCGTTTATGCCCTGCATTCCAATGCTGGAGCAGGAAAGCTTGACATACCTACATGTACCAAAACACTTGAATGCAGTTCATTCATGGCTTTGTACACAGGTGTTCAATGAAAAAAAAACAATATGACTTCACCACATAGTGGTGAAGCCATAAAAAACGTACACAATCTACCAGGTTATTCCACTGGCTGATAAAAGTGTTGCCAGTTTCGGCATTATTGTATCTTTTTGTTGATCTTCTTAGAGAGGTTCCAAATATCTTGGATGACGTAACGTCCCAGGACTGCTCCGGCTGTGAAGACACCAGAGTACACTGAACCAACAAACCCTGTCAGACAAATGTCCTGCCCTGGAGGAAACAAGAAGAGGTTAGGCCACACCAATTGAATTTCTTGGTTAACAGATTCGCCCGCTTCATTTTTTTCTGATTTGCAAATAAAAATAAAAATTCAGAATCAACTGCAAAATGCTCATATTTTACCCTGAACAGTTGAAAACAGTCCTTTTCATCCTAGTTGTTACAGTAACTGTTATTACATCTTTCAATGCAGTGGTATCATTAAAAGTTCAACATTCAATGTTTAAATTTTGAACCAGCCTGGTGTGTTGACTTCATGGCTCCTATCGTACCATTTTGGGCCATAATAGGATGCCTAGGCCTGTTTTTATTTTTTTTCGCCTGCCCACTCCATTATTTTTTTTTATAAAAATCTGTTAACTAAGAAATTAAATTGGTGTGGCCTTACTGTGTCATACCACTGCCAAGCCTAATCATGCCAAGTATCTCTGAAGCTAATGCATAGCATGATGATCAGTCAACCGGTGCTTGGGTTATCTGAGTTCTAAAATTTTTTAAAATGCCCCTGCAGTTCCAGAACAAGCTGCTAGAGGGCCAAACTCATGGAGCACAAGAGCTACTCACCATCCAAAATTTGCAACCCTAGCATGACATTTGACCAAAACTGGAAGTTCTGCTGCAGTAGCATAACAAGCTACCAGGAGGCCCAAAATCTATTCCTTTCAAGGTCTCATCAAGACCAACATGAACCAACCAACCAAATATCAAGACAATCTATTAAGTGTTCTCGAGTTACTGCGTTTACACACACACACACACACGCATACACACACGCACACACACACACACACATACATGCACACACACACACATACACGAGCACACACACACACGCACAAACGTTACCGAAGACATAACCTTGGCAAAGGTAATTACCTGCAGCAAAAAAATTTACACATGCTGCCAGCTACATGTATAATAGGTTTGGACACCAGGCTAGAACCCTGGATTAGACAATGGCTGCTGTTGTTACCTGTGAGATAGAGCCCTGGGACAGGTGTCTCCGGTCGCAGCTTCAGTGCCATCTCAGCGCTGCAACGTGTCGGAGTGTGGTCCAGCCCGTAGATCTCTCCCTGGGACACGTGGATGTAGTGATTGTTGCTGATCGGTGTGGCAACTTCAATGAATTCCACCTAGAAATTAGATGGTGGAAAGAAAATGTATGCGTGTCTGAGCTTACTGACCTTGCAAATCAGAAAATGGATTCCAACTCAACCTACCAACCAACCTCCTCAAGACCTTTTCCGTAGAGTGTAATCGGTCGTTTCAATTCTACGTAGAGCATAGACGGACTGCTCTAATATTTTTGCGTAGAGCGTATTCAGCGTTTTAATTCTACGTATTGCATTGTAGCCACTTGGAATTGATCGTAAAGTGTAGTCGAGAGGTTTCCGAATTCAGCGTAGAGCGTTGGCGGGACCCCCCCTTGCAGGCCCTCATATAAGGGGTTTTGAAGGCTAGGAAATTCTAGGATTCAAACCCATGACCTTTTGATCCAGAAAGTCTAAATATTCTATGCATATACCGCCCAAGAAAGCCAAACTTACTTTATCCTGTAGTTCTGGGTACAGCTGACATGTCTGTTCCCACATGTGCTGTCCGATAGCCTGCTTCAGACGTTGGTACTCATGAGCACGATGTTTCACGCGCTCGTCGTTCCAGCGCTCAAACCAAGCAGGCGGGACGGAGAAGTTCAGTATAGTACACGTCGACCTTCCTGAAAGGGTTTCAATCAAGATTATTAGAAAAATTATAATTTTATCTAGCATCCAACGTTATAGAAAGGAGACATGCCCTGGTTACTTCTGGGTATGAAGTATTGTTTTGGGTGGCTTTGTGTGCATGTTTGTCAGGAGAGAGTAATACTATAGGTTGACAGAACATGGGTGGCTGACCAACATTCACACAACCATTCCTGAACAACATTCACACAACCATTCCTG